AATAAATAAATAGTGTTCCGATTATTAATGCCCATATGCCGTTAACTTTTACTTATTCCCACAATTATAAATTTTAAACCACATATGAAATACGTCAAATAACTAAAAAAATAAGAAAAAAAATAACTGCTGCAAATATTCAATTGGGTTGGCCAACTGCACTGTCTGAGTTTTATCAATACGTTTGGTTAAAATTAAAATAAATAAATAAATAAAATATATACGACTGCATATGAAGTTGACTGAGCTCAATATTATTGTCGTTTGATAACATTCAATTATTAACTTAATATAATCCAACTATATAAGAAGGATAAAGGGAAAAAGTATTAAATGAAACCCAAGGGGGATAGAAGGAAAAGTAAAAATTGATGATTCAAAAATTTCTTATTTTAATAACAAAATAAATTTAACGGGAATTTTATAAGATATTTTTAACAAATAGTTAACCTTTACATATATATATTTGAGACAAGAATTAAATACTTCTCTTTCACTTGTTTTTAGTTTTATTTTTAAATAATTTAAAAGTAATAGTAATAGGTATAACAAAAATAATAGTCATTTCTATTTTAATAGAATAAATAACCACGGAGGCAATGCCTATATCCAATAAAAGATAAAACGAAGATAATAAATCACTGCTGCAAAACATATAATTTTATCCTACAACAAACAGTCATTAAATGAAGTTCAAAGAAATAACAAATTATTTAACACGAAAGCATTCACTGGTCGAACCACCGAAAAGCGAAAAAACTGCATAGGCCTTGAAGGGATTGACATTATTGCAACTCGTAGAGACTTGACTTTTTAGGCATTTCCTGCTCTGAACCTACACAAAGTAGAACCATATCTAAATTTATTAATACGGTATGAATTTTACTTTAAATTTTACAACTCCAGCTTTATTTAATAAACAAGAATTATTGCATAATTTCTAAAATAATTATAGGAGCAAACAACGTAAAAGAAAAGGGAATTATATATTTATAAATTAAAGTACCATTATGAGTTAGAAAAATCTTGAAACAAATTTAGGAAATTCTTGATATAAGTTTGCTAAAGTTGATTTATAATGCTATAATTGTCCAAGCAAAGTAAAATAAAATAGAATTATTTATTTTTAAATAAAAATATCACTATCCATTTACAGATTTTTCATTAAAAATAAGTAGAGCAAATAAAACGTTTATTTATAAATTAAAAATATCATTTTTAAAAAACTCTTCATACAAATTTGTTGAGATATCACATATTTCACAAAAGAAAAAAGCTACTCGTACAATTATTTTGTACAACATTTAGATAGTTGAGATGCGAATAAATGTATAGTTAAAATTTCTTTTTTCCCAAACGACATAATATGGTTAAGATTTGACTCAATGGTTGTGATAACTAGTGTTGTCATTGTCAACTATAATTGTACATGTAGCATTGCCTCAAAATGATATTTGTTTAAATTTTTTTGTAATATCCATATCATTATATTAATCCAATTGAAAAATTTGTAAAAATATAACCCTTCTTAAAAGTAATCTAATTTAAAATTATTTACAATATAATCCAAGTTTAATCTGTCCTAACATTATTTAGCCTGCATTCAGTATTATCGCAATTTTTTACACAATCCACTACTTCTTACTTCTCAGCCTCCATTCATGATTATCGCAATTTTTTACAAAATCCGCTTCATACGTTTTCATTTGACTTCTGCACAGTAGTCAGTTCTCAACAAAATCCTTCGCATACAAATTTATAGTATTATAAATTGTCGCAAATTTATACAAAATCCGTCCCATACATTTTCATTTGAATTCTAGATAGTCGTAAGTTCCAAACAAAATCCCTCTCATACAAATTAATTTTGATTCTAAACTACCGTTCGTTCTTTTAATAACAAAATCTCTTCTGTACAAATTTATATTAATTACATTTTATTATTATGTAATGTAACTCATCTTTTGTTAGCTTCCGAAGACGCGGGCATGAATTATTATATAAAGATGAATTGTTCTTATTAACCGATATGTTGGTTGTTTCAACATTCCTATTTCTTGACCATGTAATATTATATGATAAATATTTCTTGACCATTTAAATGGTTTTAATTTCTTAAAACTAATACTATATTCATTGGACGTACTTCAAGCCCCATCCAATTTCCATTCCATTTTATTCTAAATTGAACTCAAATTTATTTTCAACAAAATAAAAACACCTCATAGTAAGCCTTGTTCCATTCCGCTCAACTTGGCTCTACTCGCATATGACGCGGATTGACTGATATTGATACGGTAAATGGCTATCAATTGTCAGCCCGATTGAGTACCATAGATTCGATTACGATAAGATTTGAGTATTATGAAGAAAATAGTTTATAACTATTGATTGTAAAGAGTAATTGGCAAGATTGGAATTTTACGAAGCAAATAGTATATAACCACTGATGGCAAAAATAATAGGCAAGATTGGAATATTACAAAGAAAATAGTTTATAACTCTTGATTGTAAAAAATAATTGTAAAAGATTTTGTTATCGTTCTGGTGAGATAGTTGAGAACATAGTTCGAAGGGCCTAAACTTATGCAGCCAACCTAAATTCTACACCGACGGAACTGACTTCAAATTACCATATTTTGTATTGAACTAACAAAATACACGTCATGTTGATTCTAAATAATTTATATGCATAACTATATTATCTTATATTATATCTGTATCAATTATCATTATTATACTGTGGTTATCATATTTGTGGTTTGATACCTAAAGGAATGCTTGTTTGTTTTTTTCCCGGAATATGATTTAGGAGACAACAGAAGATAAACTCAGTTTACGCTTATAATTTATAAATATCAATTACAAGTTCAACACAGTATAAAAACTAAACTAGTATAACTATCAAATTATAGTAAAAACTAGACTAGTATAACTATTAAACTATAGCAATGACGCAACAACAAATGGGTGAAGAGAAAACATGTAATATCATGGTTACACACCCACAAATTCTAGAAGAAATTCGAATATCTCGAGGAAACCCGGAAAAAAAAAAAATAAAAAATGAGAATGAAAGTGATGCAAAAACGAAAGAATGAAAAGCAGAAGATCAATATCAAAGAGATCAACCTACCTACATAACCATATATCCCTCGGAGTGTTTTAACTAATAAAACACTTTCGACTAACTTATGCATAGCATATGTTCCTATGATCCTATCTTGTCATGCTACCGAGATAGCCACTTAAAGCACTCAAGATTAACTCGAGTAATAAGATAAACTGGTAATAACCCACATGTGTTATTACTGAAATAAAACTAAAGTTCTTCCCAGCAATAAAAGCCCTACACTTGAGATGACCACCGTAAATTATAGAGAATGCCCATGGGGCCACATATGGAATGCGAAAAGAGCATAACTTGCATAAGATGTTCAGCAAAACACAAAACAGAAAATTTGCCACCCTTACATAATCATAACTAGCATTCAAGGGCTAAGGCCAACATTGGGGAGTGAATTTTGCATTACTTAAATGGTTTAACCCAGTACTTTTATATATGTGGTAACTCTATACGTTGGACACTTTCTACAATCCATACTTACATACTCTGAGGCAGCTAAGAGAGAGATTGGACGAATGTTAAGATGCTTTACTTTGATTTGCCGTATAATCTTTGACACTAGTAATTATGTTAAGAAATTAAGATGCTTAGACAAGAAATGAACAGCTCAACCACAAATCCTGAAGCAAAAACAAACATGCCCAATTTAAAATGCAAATATAAAATTTGTCCTGGCGATGTAATTCTGTGTTCCAAAGTCGCAAAAGAAAAGGCATAACTATTTGAATCTGAATATCTTTTGGAAAAGAAGGTAGAAAAAGATTTTGGACTATTTTGTGAAGCTTGGACCATTTTTATCACACAAGAATCCCTTCTCTATCTCATCTCTGTTATTACAAACAGGACCTCAGTTTTCATTTCTTAAACAAACCAACCTTAGAATGTGAATTTTCATAATTATTTATTCAACATAAAAAAGGCATCCTAGAGAAAAACAGATTTGTGTAAGGTCAACGGACATGAAATTTTATCTCAAGGTTCTACAATCTACTTTGCTGTTAGATCTTAATCTTGGATTTATCTTCTTGCTAATTAAAAGATTTCAAAAGTCAATACAATTTTAGATCACAGATTCACATATTCGTAACTCATCTCTCCTAAAGGGTGAATATTATATAATTATGAGATGCTATTCTGCATTTCCAAAACATCACATCATTTCCTTTTATTTTCTCACTCTAGAAGTTACATGAAAAATATCCTTCTATACAAACAAAATAAAATAGATCTACATGACCACATCAGCCTCTCATCCAATACCAGCTCGAAATGCAAGAAAAACGATACTACGCCATTGTTTAACATGCACTTATTATGATATCAGCATACAGCTATAAAAAAGAAACCAATTACAGAAGTATAACTGGTCAGTCTCAAGTGTCGGTGCTTCTATTGGATAACCAATAGCAATCCTGGCCTACTCAAGATAACCCCACCCTTGAAACACTTTGGTAGTGTTCCAGGAGCGGAAGATGGCTCTGAAATACTTAGGACCTATAAATATTGCAATTCAATGGACCAGTCAAAGTTGTTGAGCTTCTAATGAAGGTAAAGATTCTAAGATAGGCACCTATTCACAAAGGGCATTCACCAACTAAGAATTGGCATCATCAACAACAAATTGTTCCTAAAAAAGGCCGTATTCCTGCATCAGGCAGCCAATAACGTCCCTCTTGACAAACTCCTATATACATTCAGAATGTATCACATGAAACAAAACTCTATTCCTGAAGTATCTTACTACACCTGGGCCTATTGCCAATTAATCGAGTACTAACTATTAACTACAAAACTTGACAGAAGTATTTCTAAACACCTAGAATGAACTATATACACTATCACCCGCGATTACCAGCTCGAGCGATTACCTCCATAATAAAGAGGCATTCAAATAAAGAGGAAATAATACAAATAACAGCATGAAAAAGGTTCACACAATATCAATGCATGACAAATTATTGCACAAATATAGACCCCAAAAAAAAAAAAAAGGCGTGTGGATAGTTACCTGACTCAATTACTCCCTGCACCCTGCCCGGCTTGATTACCTGATGGCTGGTGTATTCTGGACAGGAGATTGGCTGCAAACAACAGTGTTGTCTTGTACCGCTCATTCTTATCAGCCTCGGTTTCAGCATTTTCCTGCGCCACCCCAAATGGAGCAGTCTGAAGCGCCGGCTGGCTTTGATGATGCACAAGCTCCACTTCAGAAGGCTGCGGAGGAACATAGGGCTGGGAAGATGCATTCGCATGCATCTGATTGGATAATGGCACAGGATACATCTGCTGCGGGAAATTAAAGGACGGCTTCAGAGAGTCTGCTCCAGTTTCTATTCCTTGACCCCTAAAAACATCCTGAAGATTATTCCCATGTTGATATTGCTGGTTGATCTCCGGTGCTGCCACTGGGGCTGGTCCTCTTTGCATTGAAATTATGGGAGGCATCAATCTCGATGAAGAGCCACCTTGAGATGTGAAGTCGCCAGTGTGGTGTTGTCTATAGGGATTCAATTCTTGATGAAATTGGCCAGGAGGAGGAGCTTGAGCTTGAGCTTGACTTGCCTGGGGGTGTTGCATTGGCCAACCCTGTGGTTGCAAAAACTGGCCATTGTGGACTTGAGCCTGGTTTTCATGCTTCCAATGGGATGTGTTTGTGTCAACACCCAAAACAACATTGGAAGGTGCCTGGGGTAAACATGAGGAGGCTTGTGGAGTATTATTATTCGCAGGGAGCAAAGAAGTTAGAGTAGCAATAAGTTCGGGAGTTAAGCTTAAACTAGCTGGAGGTGAAACTGTGGTAGGTGGAACAACATGGCTGGTCACAGGAATAGGAGCTTTAGGAGGCAATTTGAAATCTTCGGGCAAAACCCTAGAGTTATCCAAGTGTGGGCCCCTTTCCTCTGGGGCAAGAGCATCATATCCCCTTTGCGGAGTGGGCCTTCTGGGTGGATCAGTGTAAGGAGCAGATATATTGTGAGGATTTAAAGATGGACTACCAGGCGCTATCTGGGGAAACTTCAGAACTACTCCGTACAGCCTTTCGGGCCCATCAACTTCAAGAACCTTAAACAGAAAATCAGATGGAGGTACCAAAAATAAGGTGGTACCATCCTCGAACTTTGCGACTCCTGCTCTGTCTTTTGAACCCAGATATTGCAAGAAGTCTGTATAAGAAGCAAAGTCGTCCTCACTGTCAGGCAGGAATAATACTACACCAAACCCAACAGCATCCTGATGATAATGTTTGGTTAGCAAGTCCAATCCAGTTCTTGCTGAGCAATCGACTATGTCGGGACTGCAAAATTGAAAAACACCCAAAATGAATTGAAACTTCAGTGGTGGTCATTCAGAAAAGAATACAAAGAAAATATACCAGAAATATTCGGAAACTGACGGTTTAAATCAAGTCTTAAAATTTTCACAAAAAAATGATAAAACGTCACTCATGCATTCACTAGAGCTTAATAACCAGAAACAAGCATCTTAAACCAACAGTTATTTCTGCATAAACACAAATTCAATCAAATGCTCAGATGCCATACTTACATATCAGCTCCAAGCCCATCTCCAACAGGGACACACCTGGCACGACAAACAGGCGTTCCACCTTTTGCAATAAGACCCCGCCATATGTAATCACTTTCAGTAAGACGCGGACCATGCCCGCCAATTGCGCTTCTGGTCAAAACACCAGAAGCTCCACCACTTCGTAGTGACTGTGGACTAAAATGCTTGGTTCTTTCAGGAGGCAGAGAAGCATCAAGCCTTGATCTTTTAGATTCTCTTTGAAGTTGGGTAGCATCAGAAACATCCCATGGTGCTGACCTGTTTGGTATAAAACTTGCTGAAGGAGAGGATAGTAAGCCACGGGTGGGAGAAAATCTTCTCCAAGCAGGCCCTCCCATTAGAGTTTGGGAACTATGGTTCTGCAACTTAGAAACAGAAGATAAGTCAACATGTTCAGGTCCATGAGAACCAACAGGTGGCCTAGTATATAGATCAGGTCCATGAATTCCACGAGGTGATGGACGGCCAGGATTATTTCCCAGTAAAATAGGGTGGTTATGACCAAGCAGATCCATCTGAACTGGTTGAAATGGGCTCATGCCAGGAAATTCATCACTGAAATAGTCGATTAAAATCCTAGGATCATTAAATAGTTTGCCCTGTAGTCCCTCTTTTGCCCGCCTGGCTTCATCAACACTTCTGAATTCTACAAAGGCATAATTTTTGTCACTATATGTCTTTATCCTCTCGATCTCGCCAAACAAAATCATGGCATTATGCAGCATGTCATCTTCGAGGATAACGGAAGGAGGATATCTGATCCACAGGACTTTGCTCGCTATTGCATCACCATATTGTGACCCCATTGGGACAAAGGGCTGCAGCAAACAACAAAACTGATGTTAAAGAGAAACTGAAGATAAGGAATGATGAAAATGCAATGACATGTAAGACTATTAACGTAGTCAATAAATTCACCAGAAACACCACTGCTTTTATTAAATTATACAAAGCAAATTAAAAGACCGGTGCATTTCTCATATACAATATAGCTGCCAGGAAGCTCTTAAAGAGACAACATATTCATATCACTCAACTCCATCATCTGGGCCATGTTCCCAAGTTCATGGAACTCCAAGAGTGAAGATATGCTATCAAAGTTTGAACTTACATTTGTCCTTTTGGACCCCAAAAGACTTGGGTCAACATAACTGTTCACAGGATCTTGTCCCATCCTGCGGAAGTCAAATGGTACCATGTTCCTACTGGGAAAATGGCCTTCCTTTGCATCTGGATCCATCTCCTATGGAATACAATCCAAGTCATAAACAGAGAAAAGGTATCGTATAGACTGACGAAACAGATAGGCAAAAAATTGATGGATCTTCACTTTCCATCAGAGCCAGCAGTAAAGAAAATCATGCACTGCAGAAAGAAATTTATATTGCAAAAACATGTGCAAATTTCATCCCAAGCCATTTGTCACTAGCTAGCTTTACCACTCCAATTCAACACCCAATTTTTTTCAAGTCAACCAAGATTTATGCAATGTCAGGCCCCACTGGAATGATTAGCCCTTTTACATGAACTAAATTCAGTACGTGCGCGAGACAGAAGCTTTTAGGTAAATTAACTTACTCTTCTAGGAGGTTGAGACCTAAGGAAGTCCACACGTAACTGAGAACCACCAATTCTTTTTCCGTTCATATTTTTTAATGCCTGAATAGCATCTTCCAACCCAATATAATCAACACATGCACTGTTTCTCTCTCTAAGGAATTTAAATTCCTGGATTTTACCATATCTGAGAAACTCTTTCTCCAATTCCTCCCTTGAAATGGATTGACTTATTCCAGACACCCACAAACTTTTACATGGTTTAGCCTGCAAGATCAATTAAGCATTACACTTCTATGTACTCAGTCTTCTTTCGGAAGGGAAAGATTTGACATGGAATGCATAATCATATCATATTAAATAAACTAACCAAGAAATAAAACAGTACACATAGCAACAGTGCCAAACTGCCCATCCAAGAACTTTTAACAATAAGAAAAAATAGACATGCCAAGGTGCCACCCTAAATCTTATGCAATAATCTGAAAGCTAATGGCCATACAACATATGATCAGATGGTAAGAATAAACTACTTTCAAAATAACTAGTAAACATTATTTATGACTCGGGCACCAAACCAGATCAGTCATAGAGCAAACCTCTCTTTCTCCCAAAATGCTCAACTTATCTTATCAGCCAAGGTATTTACAAGCAGAAAGCTTACTATCTAGTTGATATACAGATAGCTGATTCTTGAATCCAGCATTTCATCGCTACAACTGGAAAATATTTTCATATTCGACCTTGTAAAGTAATTTCTTGAAGGCCAAATGGTAATATTCATTATTCTCTGTTCTAATAGAGTTAAGAAGGATTTTTCCTTAAGGTATGAAATTGGTAGAATCTAAATACATGTTATCCTTCAATAGCTTGGATTAGTTAAATCGTGAAAGTTATATCCTTCGCACAGCTAGAGAATAATATTTTAAAACTTGACTTTTAACTTTTGTCAGGTCGATTCTTAGAGGAAAAAA